CACACAGGCTTTTCAATCAATACTTCAAGTACTTAATGCGGTACAACAATCTTCCTCAATCTGTTGACAACGCATCCCAGGATTCCCAAAAATGTCCCTAAATACAACCTTCTAGATGGATTGGGATGATAATTCCCAGAATTTCCAGCCAGACCAGAACATACCAAGAGGGCAGCAGGTTAGCTCTCTCTCTGTCTATCTGGTGTGGGTTTTGTGACAGAATGTGGGAGATACTACCAGCTGCAATAATGCACAAAGGATGAAAACCCTGAGATCTGCTTGAATGAGTCACTCTCAGTGCTTGCTTCAAAAATTAGTATTCCCTAAACCTGGTTTATTGAATATACCGTAAGAGGCTGATTTTGCACAACATGCTAAGCCAAAAGCCAACGAAAGCCATATTATAGTTTAGTGCAATGTGTGATCTATGTCACAATCAGCTTATTGCTTGGAAACCTGGTTCTGGAACTGAGTCAGTGTAGCAAGTTCCACCATGACGCTATGAGAAGAGGAAGAGGAAGAGGAAGAAGAGGAGGAGTACTAGCATCATTTATTATTGCTTTCTATCTGGCTTTTTCTCTTGAGAAATTGAGATGACATGAGGATTTTCCCTCATTTTATCCCAACCACAAACCTAAAGTAGCAGATTGGGCTTCAAGAGAGTGATTGACCCAAACTCCAAGGTCCCCTTTATATGTGCCTATATTATCCCCAGCTACAGTAATAAGCTACTGTATTATTAATCTTTTGATTACGTACCATCACGTCAGTGCTGACTCTTAGCAATGACATGATAGATTTTCTCCATGATGATCTGCCTCCAACCTGGTCCTTCAGGTCTTGCAACAGTGTTGATAATGCTACAGGAATATAATTTCTGGTTTGTACTGTATTTACATAGTCATATGGGGCAGAAATAACAAACTTTTGATATGATGGACTTGTTTGTGTCAGATTAAAAAAAAATCTAACTTTCATGATTGAAGAAAAAGGTTTCAAATATGCAGAGGCTGTTTTAGTGTGGCTTTGTATTGCTGCTAACTGTTGTCCATGCTTTCTAACTAAAATGCATTTCCTGCCTTCCCTCACTGTGGATAAAAGATCATCATTTCCCCTCTACTTGGCCTACTGTACTCACATCTGATCAATAGGTAAGGGGACCCATAAATATAATTGTTTCTTTACTTTATTCTCCTTGCAAAAAATCTGAACTTGAACTGCATCAGATCAGACTGTCTGGCTTCAAACCAGCAACCCACTACCCACCACTATGGGCTTTCCCTAATTCACAGCTAATTCAAAGGCCCTTAAGACTGCACCCCTAAACTTGCTAGTCTGGCTACTTCAACCCAATGACCATATCTATTTATCCAGAAGCAAGCCTCACTTACTTCGGAGCTTCAAGTTAGTGTGCTTAGGTGTATTTTCCCGGACATTAGCTCCATTGAGAACAGCAGGACGCACTTCTGAATAAATACACATGGACCTTGCTTGCCTGTTCCACTGAAATAGCTAGGGCTTACTTTCAAACAAACATGGAAAGAAGCTGGGCTTCTTGGCTGATCTTATGCAGTATACCCAGGAATAACTCTCTTCCTCAGAAATTCAATGGGGCTTACTCCCAAATAAGGGTCCAAACATTTCATGGGGCCTAAAATGTGGGATTTCCCACAACCACGTGACAGATCTTTTCACAAATCTGTCTGCAGCAGCTACACCAACACCCCACAAATTGCGTCACTTTAATTCCTTGCTTCCTTCTCTCTCCAGCATACCCTTTCTATAGCAGCCTTCCTAGAAGCCAAATCATGACCTAGATTTCTTAGAAGAAATGGAAACAAATTCTGCACATCCACAGGAGCACTCCTCCCTAGCAATGTTTCTTTTATGTCACTACTGAAGTCTGGCTCATGTTATAATTCCATAAATATTTATTTCTTAATCTTATTATTTAAGTAATAATTATTTAAATTAATTATTTCTTGGGCAGGAGAGCTAGTGTGGTGTAGTGGTTGAAGCACCGTGCTAGAGACCATGAGACCCTGAGTTCAAATCCTGTCTTAGGCATGATGCCAGCTGGGGGACCTTGGGCCAGTCCCTCTCTCTCAGCCCTAGGAAGCAGGCAAGGGCAAACCACTTCCAAAACCTTCCCAAGAAAACTGCAGGGACTGGTCCAGGCAGTCACCAGGAATCAAAAACTAACTTGAAGGCACAAAAAACAAAATTGTGGGTGGGGTTCACATATTATTTATGTATTAACATTTTGTACCATCCCAATCAATTCTGGGCAGTGGGCAGACTAATATCAAAGTAAAAAGTGATCTCCTGAAAACATCTCCTGCCCCACTATAAAAACAATCAAATCGGCATAAAATATGATAGTCCCCCAACTCTGATCAGACTAGGCATCCAGTGTGTTGAAGGCCTACTTAAACATAATTGCTTTAAGTGCTTTCCTGAATGTTAAGAGCCACATTCCACAATTTTGGGGCTACCACAGAGAAGACCTGTCTTCTGTCCCACATTCTTTTGGGGACAAAACCTTGAGCAGGTTGTCTGTAAATAACCTCACATGAAGAGCAGAATCATTTGGCATAAGGTAGTCCCTAACGTGCTAGGTCACAGTATTTTTACACATAATTTGTTCAGTAAGCCACCATACTTCATGCTAAGTTACAAACTATGGTTTATGGAACCTAATGGCAAAGTCCATACAAACACTCTACATAAAACAAGGCTGCATCATGGTTTTGCTTGATGTGTCAACCCAGATAAGCATCAACATAACTTTTTCTTAAACGTTCTTACATAAATTTAAGGTGGGATATAAACCTAACAAGAAGAATAAGCTACTTTGCAGACTGACACATAGTGCAAAATTGTTTTAATGGTGATTTTTTGAATAAGATACAATGACTGGTTCATATATCACCATGTTTATGAGCCATAATATGGTTTGCTTGGATCTGCCTAAACACGATGTATGAATTCAGCCTCAAGTTTAACAGATCTATGGCTTGTTGGATGTTGTTTCAACATATAGGCTGTGTTTACCTAACACACTGAACCACAACTAGGCAATTATATTTTAGCACAGTGTGCAGTGCAAACCAACCTTTGTGGTTAGTTTATGGTTCAGTGTGTCTTGGGGACTCAGAATATTGGTGAATTAAAGTAAGCTCAGTTAAGCATGGGTAAATGTATCATGCAAACATAGTCACACAAAATCCTTTAGAACATCCTTCCCCAACATGGCACACACAGATGTGTTGGAGTAAAACCCCCATCATTCCCAGCCAGCATGGTCACAGGCCTTGATGAGCATTGTCATCCATTACCTCTGAAAGCACCAGGTTAGACCCTTTGCTGTCTCAACCTGGGAACAAAATCAAAATCCCACCTGGTGCATACATCTCGGCTACTTCATTTCCTTCTCTGCCCACCAAACCTTCCCTCTGCTAAGTAAAAAGGATTCCTACTCCCCTCTTCCATCTCACTCCGCACTCTCACTTAGTAAACCCTGTTTATCTCCTCCTCCAGGCTTGTTATGGCTTCCCATGGAGCTCCTTCCCCCATCTTCCAACCCCCTCCGTGTCCCTTTGCAGAGCCCCCAAACTTCACGGCTTTCCAGGCAGAACTGGGGAATCTTCGAGACGGCGGGCGCTCAGCTACCACAAAGCCAGATAAAGGCCGTGAACGAGACTCAGGTTACAATTCCTGGGTGGCTCAGGTCTCCCGCCAGGCGAAGGGGAAGGCGGGCCTCGGGGAGGCCACGGAGGGGGATGGGCCAGGGAAGGAGGGAGCTTGCAACATCGCCTCGCAGGATCACCATTTCCAAAGGCTTCCACGGTGACAAGAGGCGACTTGGCGCGGCATCGCTTTCTTCCTTCCAGTTTTCCTGAAGAGCCAGGAAAGGAGAGCACGGGAGAGGCCGAAGCTGCCCCCCAATGGCCAGGCGCTC